ATATGGTAAATAGACAATTAAATAATGGAATTAAATGTTTGCAGATGTTCTGTTAAGAGAAGTGACCCCTCAGATTCTTAGACATGTTCAGAGCTGCTTATTGTCAAGCAATGGTAGAGTTAGCACTGATTTAATTGAGTCAAATCCTGGATCCCAGTTTTGGTTGAAGCTGATGGAAGTAATTGTAGACTCCTATGCCATGGAAAGGATATCTGAACAGCTTTTGAATCAACTGGTAGCTGTAGATGCAAGTGATGTTGAAGCTTACTGGACTCTTTGGTTATTGTTTAATCGGTTACTGAAACATCAGACATCTATCAGGTGAGTAGAGCTTCTTGTTTATTTTATTTGATCAAGAATAGCCAGTACTAGCAGGGCCTCATTCTACATGTGTCCCTGTTGCATGCATCTAGATCATTTAGAATCAGGAGTGACAAAGGTGGACCTGATGATTTTCTTGCATTCTATTTTGTCAATTAATCTTATTTGCCTATTGATCATGAAACTGCAGCTTTAGTGTTAAATATTGCGCCAAAGTTATGTTCCTTTCTTTTCCTTCTGTATTCTTCATTTCCTCTTTTCCAGATAACATGATCCAGGCCTTTGGCCTTTTGTACTCCTCATTTCTCCTAAAGAAACTTAAAAATTGGATGTTACATTATAATGAATTTCATAATGAACAATGTAGCAAAATTCTTGAGTCTAGTTTTTTTTTTCATGAATGTTTGGTTGGCATGCATTTCATTCTTAAAAAAATATTCAACTCAAAACTTCTAAAAAGAGATGTGAGTTTAGTTTGGGAAGTGTTATGGACTTATATTCTTGTTGGACCTCTCCACTATCGCAATTGGTTTTTAAGTAAGATGCCTCAAAACGGCATTAGAGCCTAAGTTTTTATTGTCCTATTTTCACAGTTCAAAAGTTAAACCTGTTTGTTTCTGTTGTTCTCTTGGATCTACACATGATATGTAGTGTTAAGTAGTCCTGCATCACTTTTGTTTAGGGTGGTTGTGGCAATTGGGCCATTCATCTATCACAAACTAGATCCACTTTAGATGCGCCAAACAAAGAATGGTATGGGTGTTGCTAACAACCTCAGTAATTTAGTAGTAATCTCCTTTCAATGAAGTAAGACATCCTGTGGCATGGGTGTTGTTCTATTTTAGAGAAAACCAATATGTCTAAACTTGTGACACAAAGAATGTACAAAAATCTATTTGGTTTGGGACTTTGCTCTATACAGAAATATGCATCAATAAATGTTTTACCTCCCCCTATCATTTTTATAGTGAGTAATGGTGATTTTTTTTTCCTAATCTACCAGAAGCAAGAGACAAATGGGTTTCAGGCTACATTATAACTAGTGTGTCAATTAAATTATCAGCAGATTTTTGGGTTCCTGAACAAATGTCTTGAGTTTTTATGGTCTCAATATAGTACTTATATCCTAGGTAAAGATCATTATGCATGAATCAATAAGAAAAACTTGGGCATAAAGGTGCAAATTGGGTTTATTGAATAGCAACTCAATACCCCCTACTCCCCAAGAGGATTTCCTTTTGTTTGTAATTGTCATCTGTGAGAATGATACTTGTTTTTCCGTTCCCTACAAGCTTGACTCTTGATTCTACAGCAGCTGTCCTCATAGTTTTTCTGTCAGGTCCATATTTCTTGACAAATTTTTACTATGGAAAGTATTTCCTGTTTCTTGCCTTCGGTGGATCCTACAATTTGCTGTTCTGGAATGTCCACCCACTACCAATGTGCAAACAGAAAGCCATGTAACTGACAGTCTTTTGGACACAGTCCAACGTCTGGCTGCTGTATGGTCAAAAAGGGAGTTTGTGCAATCAGTTTCAGTTGAGCAGCAAGCTTGTATCCTTTATTACTTATTCCCTACATTACATTATTCTCACTATTTTAAGGAAATAATTTATGTGATTTGCAAGTTGTAAGGCCTTGTACTTAATGGAAAATAAAATAACTGTGGATCTTGTATTTAATTTTCTTTTATGTAAAAGTTCCACTTTAGATGAAATGTCATGTTCAATTTCCCTCTTCTATATTGTGTTGGAATTTTTGGATTATGTATTTCCTTAACTTTAAATACAGATGTGACTGCAGGGATAGGCCTTTGCCTTGAGAAGATGTGCAAAGAGGAATTGGATAAGACTAAGGATGTGATGCACTCAATTCTTCAAGGAGTTAGCTGTAGAATCTTCTTCCCTTTCTCTTGTTAAATTTTTGTTCATTCTAACTGGTGGTGTTTCTCTACTTAAATTTTATGCTTATTGCATGCAGTTAGACTGGAGAGCCCTGCATATCTAGTCAGGAAAATGGCAAGCAGTATCGCCTTAGCATTTTCTAAAGTAATAGACCCAAAAAATCCTCTATTTCTTGACGAAGATAGTTGCAATGAAGAGAATATTGACTGGGAGTTTGGATTAACTGCCCCCAAGAAAGGGACTCTCTCTATCTCAAATCGTATGGAGAAACACACTGATGAATTAAAAACCTCAATCACCTCAGAGCTAGCTAAAAACTCAAAGTACGAAACCAATAATATGGTCAACGATAATGAGAAGTGCAAAAGCAAGAAATTATCTGTATTTGAGTTGGTTGATCCAGATGAGATTATAGATCCAGCCATGCTCACTTGTGAATCAGTCTCTGATGACAATGGTGAGGATAACACTAGTGAGAATTCTGATTCATCGAGTGACTCATCACTTCAGCCATACGACTTGACAGATGATGACATGGATTTAAGGAGAAACTTTTCACAGTTGGTTGATGTAATTGGAGCCATGAGGAAATCTGATGATGCTGATGGGGTGAGTCATTTTGTTACCGTTCATTCTTCTGTATTTGAAGGTTCTCTTCAGAGTAATTATATGACTCTGCTGTTCTTTTTTTTTTTTTTGGGGGGGGGGGGGGGATGTAGGGTTTGAAGTTAGCAATACCAACTCAGGCCTTGCCTGAGGTCTAGTTTGGTAGTTCTTGGCTTTGATGACTCATGATTGCTACCCGCCATGGTGGAGATCTGATGAAATAAAATTAAATTCAGCTTAAACAATTATGTATTTTTGGACTGCAGGTAGAGAAGGCTCTTGATGTTGCTGAAAGCCTCATACGAGCATCCCCAGATGAACTTACCCATGTCACAAGTGATCTTGTTCGAACACTTGTCCAGATTCGTTGCTCTGATTTGGCTGCAGAAGGTGAGGAAGAATCAGCTGAAGAGAAGCGGCAAGGAGCTCTGGTTGCATTAATTGTTACATGTCCTTTTCAATCTCTTGATACTTTAAACAAACTATTATATTCAGCTAATGTCGATGTCAGTCAACGCATAATGATACTTGATGTTATGACAGAGGCAGCTCAGGAGCTTGCTCATACTAAAACTATGAAACCTAAACATCAAACAGGGGTCCTCATATCAACCATTTCAGAGCCTCAACCCTGGTTCTTGCCTAGCAATGCAGGGCCTCCTGGGGCTGGTTCCTGGAAAGAGATCTCAGGGTCAGGAACTCCATTGAAATGGTCAAAATCTTATGAGAGAGAACTTCCTCTGAAACCTAGTCAGATCAAAATAGGAAAAACACGACGATGGAGCCTTAGATCACAAAATACACAAAGCCATATAAATTGGTCGCAGAACAAGTTTCCTGTATATGCAGCTGCATTTATGCTTCCTGCCATGCAGGGATTTGATAAGAAAAGGCATGGTGTTGATTTGCTTGATAGAGACTTTATTGTCCTTGGGAAATTAATCTATATGCTTGGAGTCTGCATGAAATGTGCGTCCATGCATCCAGAAGCATCTACATTGGCTCCTCCTTTGCTAGATATGTTGAGAGTCAGGTACTCTACTATAGATCTATAATTTTTCCTCACATGGGCCCAGAACCTAGGAAGTATCTTCTTGAATTTGATAGAGGCTGGCATCATCTTTTTCATGAGGCCCCAATGGATGTCTGTTTTGTTTGTCTTTAGATATAAAAGTCAAACTCTGCTAAGCAGCGGCCATTGATGCCCAATATAATGGCACTTAACTCATTCTACATCTTGCAGGGAAATATGTCATCATAAAGAAGCCTATGTTAGAAGGGCAGTCCTTTTTGCTGCTTCATGTGTGTTGCTGGCACTTCATCCCTCATATGTGGCATCTGCCCTGATTGAAGGAAATGTTGAAATTTCCAAAGGGCTTGAATGGATTCGTTTGTGGTCGCTTGAAGTGGCTGACTCTGAAACCGATAGAGAGTGCTATACGGTAAGCAAAGAATTCTCAAAGCTTAATTCTGAAATAGCTAAGCCTTAAATTTGTTGATGAGAAAAAAGTGGACAATTTTTGAAGTTATTGCAAAGGCACAGATGAGATGCTCTCTTTTTGTGTGTAAGTTATAATATGTGTCATCTATTTGCTGATGTTATAGGTCTTGGATTTA